CAAGCACGCACACACTCAGAAACTTCGAAAACTTAGAAAACTCAGCAGAATGCAGCAACGCATACATTCCATTGACAAAACTCAAAAATCAGCTGACAGTGTGTGTCTCAGAGCCAGATCCCACTGGCAAAGAGGATTGGAAGAAATGTCTGAATCTGGACGTGCTCCACGCAGAATTGCAGAAAAGTAGATCAATCACAAATTTCCGCACCTGTCCACCAACACGTCCACATTCAGACACTTACTACAATCCTCTTTTGCCAGTGGGATCTCTCCCTCAGTCTGGGTTTGCCAGGTGCTTACAATTATAGTGTGTTCCCTGAAGAAAATGAAAAGTCATATCATTGCCATGCATTAGGCACCTGTCCACAAACACGTCCAGATTCAGGCGTTTGAATCCGATCCTCTTTGCCAGTGGGATCTCGCCCAGGAGACGAATGTACGATATATACGAAAGTGCTTTCCCTGTCAGAAATGAAAAGTCATATCATTGCTATTTCACTGGCAACATGAGATCACCCGACAGGCAGTGGACAATGTCATGTAGACTGCACAAAAAGCAAAAAGTATGGCAGTGTATCTTACCATGTTCTAGCGGAAGATTCGTTCTCATTTTACACTTTGGTGAGTAGTGGAGCCAGGACCGCCAGGAGACAGACATGAAGATGGACAGGGATCGCTGAAGGGAACTGTTACAGAGGAATGCTCAAAATCATATGTTCAAACATGCCACGGCTGCAAAATGATATACTGCTACAGAAAAAAAAAACAAAAAAAAACCGCCAACCCACTGAGCCCGTGCGGCTGGAAAAAAAAACAGAAAAAAAAAGAATCATCATGGCAGTTCACACAGTTCAAGACTCAAGACTCAAGACTAATACCCAGCTCACGACAATAAAGTCCTCATGGAATTACCATGAGATGAGTTCGACTCCACTGGACAACATTCTGCCCATAGTCCAGGTACATACGTACAGACAGCAGATTTGGAATGTACCGGGTCAACAGGAGATCCAGATACATTAAAAAATCTGTGCATGGCAGAGAGGCCTATCCTTCCTCAAGTTGTCGTTGGGTTTTTCCAAACAAGGAAAACCAATGCTACTGCTGCAAAATCATCAACAGCAGATCTGTAGTTAATCCATGCCAGCCCCCCACTGGGATAGAGGCCTTGCACAAGGCCCTTGGTTTAAAAAAAAAAAAAAAAAAAAAAAAAAAAAAAAAAAA